CTGAGGTGATACTTGATCCTGAGGACCTCCGTCAAAAGGAAGTTAGGCCCCAAAAGATCAGCGACATCGTCTCCAGTTCCGAGGTGGTACCCGACCTCGAAATTTTCTCTCAAAAAGGAAAATAAGCACTTTGAGCTCCATCAACGAGGGCTCGACCTCAGGAAGTCGCCTAAGTACGAATAACCCCTCCTCAGAGACCCGCCTACAACACCTTAAAAGGTTATCTACGTCAAGCTCAAAGTAAAAGCTCCAAGTGCCCGAAGTTGACTTTCACTTCGGTGCTCTATATCCACGAGGCTCGAGGGCCCCGATGATCCAAGTTTACCAGATCGCTTCAGGCTTGATCCCGGGAACAACAATGAGCTTAGAAAGGAGCCATTTCTGTTGACCAAAGGCCGAAAAGAATATTGATGATCGTCAACAGAGGCATACATTCAAAATCTCCGTGAACGCACAAGAGTATACAAGAACATGGAAAAAAATCAAAAGCATAAGTGAAGAAGATGTCTTCATATTTCATAAATATTGGCTTACAATGGCCCTCGGGGGTCCTTACATACAATTACAAAAGCTCGCAAGGGGTTCTTACGCAGAAACGAAGAAACAAAGGGGTATACACCCATAGTGAAAACCTAAGAACTTAGTCCATCCTCGAAGGTTCATCTCCGGTATCAGCATCCTCAAGCGTTGCCTCCTCGATATCGCATCCTCGAAGGCAACTCCTTCGACCGCCATCTCTTCTAGGTTCCCAGCTCAATCCCGCGGGAAGTCCTCGCTGAGGGAAAAGATGAAGAAGTGGAAAAGGGGGGGATGCAGAGGAGGCAGAGAAAAGAGACATATCCCACCGAAGCTAAAGGTTGAAGATTCGGCGGGGCCCAGCCTCAATGATCGGTTGTGCCATTTTATCCCTCGGGAAAGAAAAAACCCACGGGATGAAGTGCCACACTAGGCCAGGGTAGGAGAGTGAGCAACGGTGCATAGTCTGAATGACTTTCTAAAAAAAGGGGAGAATTGATTCCCCGTCTGTCGTAATCTCGAGCCAATAAAGACATCAATAACGATCGCAACAACAACAGCAATGACGGCAAAATGATATAATCTCGATCGACAAGGGGAAGCTCAGGCAAGAGGCCACAACACAGCCTATAGGAGCGCTGCCAAACGACCTTGAGGCCGTAGACTCCAAACATGATGATCAACAATAGAGGAAGATGGCAAGGAGAAAGGGGTAAATGAGCAGATGAAGACACTTGGATAGAAAAACAACTCCAGAACGCCCCATTTATAGGAGATAATGACGCGGTCATCGAGGCCTTTGGAAGACTGATCGGCGGACGCAATTACTCCGTTCTTGAAGAACCGAATCGACGATGGTACTTTCACCTTGGAGAACGGGAATCGACAGTGCATTAAATGATGTTGAAAAGGCAAGTCCATGGGATGTCCCGGTTATCGTGGAAACTTGCACCACAGGTTGCATCATCGGTATGACGTCGTCACGAGAAGCCCGAGGAGTCGAGTATCAGAGTCGTTTCCCATCGCTTCATTCTGAGAAACGCGGAGACTATCTGTATGCGGCGAAATCAAATGGCCTAATTTCATGCTATCAAGTCACTTCAGAAGAATATCTGTATATGGCTAAAATCGGAGAGTCTGATTTTACGATCATTACGCCATTCCATAGCCCGTCTTCAGAAGGCTCGAGGCGCAACTCGCAGTTCGACCCCAAGGGTTCCCAACGTTTGACCTCGGGGCAGTACAAATCGGTGGCCATGATGAACGAGTGAGAGATTCCCAAGGTAAGGGGTTAGAGCTGACCAAGTCTATAAGAATAGTGCAAGTCCGTACCGTGACATTAAATAGTTGTACCAGCTACAAATCTTTGTAATAAATGCACATATACTATGTTGGGATTCCCCCTCCTATATAAAGGGGACCCTTGTTATTTTTTGAACGAATGATATTCAATACAAGAACAAGAATATTCTCTGCTCTCTAACTTAAACACTCTCAATTGTCTTTCCTTTGATTTATTTCTCACATGTATTGTATTTTATTGATCGTTCTCCATTTATTACTTATCATTGATCATAAAGAGTCCTCATCAAAGCACTTAGAACTGTTGATACTTCATCGGCCGTTCACAGCCTAACGCTTAGCTCGACCTCGAGGCCCCGTATAAGCCAGCTCGAGGCCCCGATTCTCGACCACTCGATTTGCATAAATATACTATTTTCAAGCTCTTATCTTATCTTCTAGTCTCACACTTAGAATCTACTTCCTAACAACTAGCATTAAAATAAATCGTGTATTTTTATAACCATAAAATCAAATCTAATTGCAATTACCATTTTTGAGGTAAACAATATTATTTGGGCATGATAGACTATTTTTAAGATGATGATATACGTGTCTTAGTCGTAGTCATATTTATGTCATAATTACTTATCCGCACTTTTATTTATTACCTTCTTGTCCATTTTATTAATAATCTCTTGAACGTATGGATTCATCCTTAGAGATGGAGATGGAGATGCAGATTGATATGATTATGGTACATTTGGACATTTGATCGGATTGATATTGATATGGCACGAGGTTTCTGTTGTGCAGTTGTTATGATATTAATATTGTTATTGCATGAGGTTTCTGCCATGCGACGCTTGAATATGAATTTGTCCCTCCGATGTTTTGTGATTACCCTATGAGCGCAGATGATACGTTTATCATGTTGGAGCACATGAGATGTGCTGGATATTAGTTATGAAGGAGTCTTGAACATGCATGATCATCTTAGACTCTTGTAGAAGTATTCATATAGGTTCTACTTGGTGCATTATATACAGGCTTAGAAATCGAATTGGGTTTTGTTTATCTTGTTTGGGAAGCATGCTTATCCTATCTCTGATTTTGCACCTAATTGTTATATCTATTATTCTTGGTTATTTTTCTGTCATATCTTGTTATTATGGACTGTCCAGGTTGAGAAAGTGAGTATCATGCTTTTGTCAAAAATCTCGCCAATACTTTTTCGAGATTAAACTTGATACTTACTGAATACACATTATTTTTGTACTCATACTACACTTCTGCGTATTTTATGCAGATTCTGGTATTGGCATTATTGGATTTTAGGAGAGCGTTGAGTAGCTACACTTGGAGACTTTGTAGTGAGATGTTGTTCTTGATTCGCAGCTTATGGATTCCTTTTATATCCATATATTCTTATGTTTTGAGACTCAGTTGTATTTTATTTAGTTCTCATGACTTTATACTATCGGATTTTTTGAGTTGTTGGATTTTCTGCATTTTGTTATTGTTGAGCTATTAATGCTTTATCTATGTTATGACAACAAATTGTTCTTCATTTGTCTTGTTTTGGTTGATTTGGAATGTTGCCTTACCTAGCGTTTATGTAGGTCTCATCACGACCTTTGATGAAATTTTTAGATCGTGATCGGAACAAAGAGAAAGAGAAAAGGAAGAAAAAAATAACAAAGAGAAAAATAAGATAAGAAAAAGGAAAAAGAACAAGAAATTCTAAAATGCAAAAGAAAATATTAGAGAAAAAGCTACTTCATTATAAATAATCCAATTAGAGGTTGACATGTGTATAATTTGGAGTGAGTCAAATAATTAGGGCAGGTATGTTATACCCAAATGTAATGACTAAAACGAATAGCCATGTGGCCCAATAATGTTTCCAACGCATTAAAAGGGGACCCCATATATTATGTCGTTAGCGGGATAGGTCATTTTAAGACCAGAAATAATGTTGTGTGCGTTTTTTGGATCAAAAGGTGACGAAGAATAATTTTAAACCATTTACTAAATGATATGGGTAGTTTTAGCCTTTTTCTGTTAAAACTATGGGCCTCCCGTCTACTACTCCGCCTCCTCTACTACCCGACCTTAAATAACTACAATTTAGATACATTGGCTCGTTTCAAGAGAATGGAATGATAGATGAAGATGTTACTTAAAGGATTAAAATTGGATGGTTGACACGGAGAAGTGCCACCGAGGTGTTATGTGATAGAAGGATGCCTACCAAGGTTAAAGGTAGTGAATGTTATGCTAAAGTACAATACATTCACAAGATGAGTGTTGCCGAAAAGTGAATGCTAAAATGGATATGTAGTGACACTAGATTAGATAAGATAAAAAATGATCATATTCGCCAGAAGGTGCAAGTAGCACACATTGAGGATAAAATGAGAGAAGGTCGATTGAGATGGTTTGATCATGTCCTACGTCGACCTGCAAGGAACGTAGTAAAAGGTTT